TACATTATTACAACTCTGATTGGATTAGTTGGTGGTTTGATTACAGTAATGAAACTGATAATGCCATATTTGGTTAACTTTATTATGTTTTATATTAAAAAATGCAAAGGTGGACGTGCTACAATAATGCCAATGATCCAAACATAATTAGTTCTTACGCTGGTGCGAAACACATTACAAATGATAAACTTCGATGTATCGTTAAAATATTAAAACTGATATTTTTTTCGATTGAAATGTCAGAGGATGATGCATATCATCTCTTTCATTTCTTTCACGTATATCTTCTCGTTCTGTTTTCTACACATATATATGCTTTCTATTTTATTCGCATTTCTTTATCTTCATACTTTTCAACTTTTATTTTCTCGTTTCATTATCTCTCTCGCTGTTACCATTTCATCATTTTTCTAGTTGCTTCAGTTTCTCTTTGTGATGCTGCTTAGTCATTGCTTAGCTTCGCATTTGTTCGTATGCAATGTATACTCCTTATTTCTTTGGAATAAAACATTAACACACACGAACCTTTACTTATCTATCGACTTCTTATAACGAGGACATGCTCACAAGAAAAAAAGAGATAATTTATTGATATTCTCGCACAGGAATGTCAGGTTAATATTAAAGTTAATAAAATACTAATACTTTTGTATTACTGGTAAAAAATCTGTCATTTCCGATTATTTGAGGCTAAAATATGGAACTCACACTTGATATTTTGCTTCAGCATAGTATTTTAAAAGACATACAATGGTAAATTCATAAGAATTGCGTTGAGTTCGGAATCCAAGAAATTAACTGAAAAATAAAATTTATAATAGAAATAGGGCCTTCTACACAATGTGAAGAAATGTCAAAAATCTCTCTCTCGTATTAGAAGGCTTGAGCCATACATTATGTCGTACATTTTGTTGAATCCACTATTCTCTTCTGACAAAGATTGAGAGAATAGAACACACTCTATTTAAAAATGAGTTGTTATTATAGTTGTTGATTAGTAAGTAAGACAGCAATCGTTGACGATTGAGAATTATTATTTTTGTTTCTGTGTTCCGATTGTTCTAAATCGATCAAGTGACCATAAACGACTGCAATATAAAAGCATTTTTTTACAGGCTTGGTCCGGTTCCAGTCCCAAATCAAAGTTTTATATTGCCTTTAAATTCCGTTTCATATATTCGATTTCGTTATTAATATCCGACAAAAACAAGCTACGATTTGTATCTATTTGTTATCTATTGAGGCAATAATCAGTGGAATGGCTGAACTGTTACCGAATTACAATCGAAAAGATCAAGATGCGTATTAGTCATCCATAGAAACTTGATGTGTCTTATAAAATGGATCCAGTGTCCATGAATGACTAATTTTTATCACTGTTGCGTATTGATTTTTTAGTTTGCATATTTATATGTATATTATTATCTCTGTAGCCAAAAACCTCGAGACGCTGTTGAGGGTGTGGGTGAGGATTACGAGAAAAACAATATCCACACCCACACACTAATTAATGTTTTTAGGATTGTTTATGGATTCGTAAATTTGACGATTGCCATGTTACTTTTGATAGGTTTCATTAGTGCTAATTACATTAAACGATCGTCCAGCTCCTGTCCTCGCGCTCGACGTTTGTTTATTGGCAGCCTGATTGAACAATTAGTTCTATCAATTTTTTCTATGGCATGGTTAGTGCATGGTCAGTCAAATATGGATGTTTGGAGCTAAATCAAATAGTTTTTAGTCTACAAATTCTATTCAATCCACTACTTATTGTCATTCTGTCTTGTTCTGGAAGGCATTTGCTATGATATTTATTACCTACGCCATTTATTTATTTCTTATTTTGATTTCTGTTGAACTATTCATTGGAAAGGGTTATAAGACCAAACGAGAGACAGTTTCGACATTTTATATAGGGATGTAATGGCAACGATAACCGACCTATCTGTGTGACAAGAAAGTATATCATATGTAAAATTCAGTAGTTTCTATTTTCAATAAACATTTGATTCTAATTACACATAATACAATAAGAAAAATTAGAGTGAATCTGAAGGATTTACAATCGAAAGAGAAAGCATAAATAATAATTAATCAAATATAAAAAGGGTGTGGATACTGTATTCATCTAGTACCCACACCTTCGCCATCGCACTAACCTCTCACTAAAATACATTATGAAATATACATCAAGTAATGAGGCTGTTTATCATTCTTGTAATATAAACTATTGCGCAGTAAACCACGTGTCATTTTTCTTCTATAATATTAGTAACAGCACAGGGGAAAAACGCTATTAGTAATAACTGTGTATGAATAGAGAAAGTGATTTGATATATAAATCTCATATATGATTTTGTCTAGTTCTTTTACTACTTTTGTATATTTTTAATAGATAAAATTATCACAGTCATGAATATGTGACTATTTCTATTTATCATTTCTATTTATTGCATATAAAATAAAGAACATTTCTTTTTTTTCTAAATATTTGTTTATATATAGATAGATCCAGTCAATGCAGAATCAAGCGGAAGAAATTGTATTACTTCCGACAACACATGGAAGACATTCTCGTGATGAAAATCAAATATTTCCGGATCGACAAAAAAGTTATAATGAAGATGCATCAGATGTACAACATCAACATATACTCAAACGGTAAATGTATTTAAACATATGTCGATATTTATGATAAGAAGGTAAAAATCATATTAATCATGTTGTGCGATTGAATTATGTGAACGTTTTTTTTTTCGAATTAAAGATTTAACTTAGATCTCTATTCGTAAGTTACATAAAAAAAGAAGAAACTGATAAATATTAAGTATATACATTTCTTTTTGAAAAGTCATAAAAAAAAGATGATGAATAATAGAATTTCAGTTAAAAAACTTTCGTCCACTATTCGTTAAAGGTAAAAATTATTTTTATATCCTACAATAGAATTGAAATTATTTATAAATTTGAATTTAATTCGTTTTTTTTCTTCTTAGGTTAATTAAACCAACTAATCCAGCAAGTTTATATAAACATCTTCTTCTATGGGTTATTCTTTTCAGTTGTCTATTTCTTCTTGCTGCTCCACTTGCTCTTTATGCATCTTATGCTTTACCATCCATTAACCCTTTCAGGCCTACTGTACTAAATATAGTACGGTTTTTTCAAGTTTCGTAATTTTCAAATAACTCATGAACGCCAACAGATTTTGAGATGCGGTTTTCTCTATAATATGCAGCGGACTTCGGTACCTATATCTATGTAAAAACTACAAACTTAATAAGCCCTTTCGGGTATTAGACTTACTGGGTTTTTGGAGTACCATCAGTATCCTAACAGGAGAAGAAGCGCTCTTGCGGCTCTTGCGACATGCAAAATAATTCGGTTTTCTATGTTGGAATCAAGTTAGAAGTGATACCTAGTGATATTCCATAGATTACTTTTTTGACAGCTCTCGATCGAATTATGACCGATACCCTAGTCCCCTACAGAAATGGCCAAAACCCTTATTTACCTTCCCCGTAGGGGAGTACGGACATGGATCGAAAATGGCGGTAAATTTTTTTTTAAAAGTTCGGATGAAAATATTGACAATATGCATTGCTCTTATTAGATATGAGGTTATTAAGAAACTTTGTTCATTCGTTGCGGCGTAGGCCTGAAAGGGTTAAATCACGTACAATACCATTATATGAATTTAGTGACGAACGTGCTCGTGATTTTTATACAAATTCAACTCGATATAGTCCAAGAGTTAGTAATACATATGCTGATTATCGTACACGTGCTTTTCTCATTTCACAAATCTATTGAATTCGTTTAATGGCTAAAAAAATCTATTCAATTCGAAATTAATCAAAAAATTTTACTACTGAAAATATTGAACACTTACAAAATATTGCAGTTCGTTTATCTAATTCAAATTCATTGAAAAAAATACACCTTGTTTAATGTTAATTGCTCGTTATAATTCAGGTATTAAATAGAGAATATCATATATATATATATATATATATATAGTTTTACTTGAACTCCTTTCAAAAACTTGTGAATGATCCATCAATAACATTTTCTCAAGTTAATTTAATTGTTCTATTTACTGGTGCTGAAGAAATGGGTTTAAATGGTGCTGAAGCATTTATTAGAAATCATCCATGGAAAAATGATATACGTCGTTTTATTAATATCAATTCAAGTGGTAGTAATGAAAAAGCTATTCTATATCGAGTTAAACCATCACAAGTATAGTCTTCTGTTTTTTATTAAATCAGAAAAATTCATTTTCTAGTTTTTATTCTAGCTTGTTAGAGAATATAGTCGAGTTCCAAGACCGCATGCAAATGTTATCGGTGATGAAATTCTTGAATTAACTGGTTCGGATACTGATTATAGTGTTTTTACATCAAAAGGATCATTATTAGGATATGATTTTGCTTTTTATCTCGATGGTTATAATTATCATACATTAATTGATAAACCATCAACTGTTGAAAATGGTGCATTACAACATTTAGGTGAAAATACACTCGTATTATCTCGTAATATTCTTCTTGGTAATATAGATCTTCAACAACCAGAAACTATATTTGATGATGATGATGTTATCTATTATGATGTGCTTGGTCGACATTTAATAACATATACGAAATCAACATCCGTCATAATACAATCAGTTCTTATTGGATTTGTTATTCTAATAGGAATATTAGTCATTATTATTGATCATATATGGTATAGAAGAAATTTTTCAATTGATAATTTTTCCTATTCAGTTTATTCTTATTTTAAATATCCATTACTTATTCGTATACTTTCAATAATTACATTTTTTCTTTGTTATTTATTATCAATTTTGATTGGAATAGTTTTTGCTATTTTTATTGCATTTATTATATCAAAAATACGACCATTATCATGGTATGGTAATTCAACAATAGCTTTTTTTCTTTATGGATTACTTTATTTAGTCGGTATTATACTTTGTGAAGCATTCTGGGGATATTTAAATCGATTATTCTTATCAAAATATCCGAAAAAAAAACCTATGGAAATTCAAACAATTAATTATATAAATCGTGTATGTTTTAGTTTTGAACGTCATTGATCATTACTTTTAATTTTTGTCTTATTTATGAGTATATCTATATTTATTAATTATCGTTCATTATATTTTATACTTTTATGGTCTATATTTATTTGTCCAACATATTTAATTATAATTTTATTTGAATCAAATTTTCGTTGGATGAAAATCAAGTTTTTTATTCTTTTTAATGAACAAGGATGGTATTGGTTATTTGCACCTTATATTATTTCATTAATACCACTAGATATAATTATATGTTCATTAATTGTCTTACCAGCTATACTATTTTTTCTTGTTTTTATACCGAATATTCAACGAGTTATAAATTATAGTCGAATATTAATTTTATTAACAATTAGTTTTCTTATTGTATTTATTATAGCATGTACAAGACAACCATCTACAAGTACTCATCCACAAATAATTCAAGTTCAACATATTTCACAATCAATGTATAAATTAAATAATCCAAATAGATTTCCAATAGTTACTCTAATTTATTCACAAACAGTATCGATTTCTATTAAATCATTTGGTAATTTAGTTTTATCATCAACATTAGATGAAATTGCAAGTAAAACTGGTTATAGATTATATGATTGATCATGTTCAACACAAACAAAATGTTCATTTGATGATACATTTAATCGTGCAATTGCAGTTTCATATGTTGAATTCACATCAATGGATAATTTTAATAATTATAGATTTATATTTCGACATTTATCTTCTCATCAAATTACTATTTTATCATCATCTACTGTAGCAAAATTAATTGTACATAATTCAACAATGAAACCAAGAAATGAAACGATTGTAAATACTCAATCAATTAGTTCGTCGTCATCATTTTATTTAGAATTACAAATTGATCGTTGTGATTTAAATGATTCTCCATTTCTTTTATCTTTAACTAAAAAATTGCCTCATATTGTCATATGGCGTAGCGGTCGTTGTGAAACGATTCGAGATATTCTTGTTCTTTCTATAAATGGTTGATTTTCTTTCTTTCTATCAATTAAAATCGAAATTTTTATTAATAAAAAAAGAAAACAAACAAACAAAAAACTAAACAAAATATTATTAAATGTTTTATTTTTTTATTTTGTTTTTTTTTATCCAGCGGTAGTTTGACATTGTTTTAATGAATATTGTTGATTTATTTCATCATTAAGTAAATCAAGAAAATATTTATCAATAAAAAAGTTTTTTAAACATCCACTATATGTATGACAATATTGTTCATTATAACTACATAAACGATGAAAACCACCAATATAAATATATGTTGAATATGGAAGAAATCTAAATAGAAGCAGATTTTTAATAATTTTAATTCAATTGAATTTTGAATACCTTTCAATTTCAACTCGATAGCATTGACCATCATCATCACGTTTTTTTGATATTAGAAAATTTTCATCGGAATTTTTATCTAATTTAACTGTAAATTGTATGAAACCAATGAAAAAGTTGTTAATGATAAATATTGAGAAAAACTATTTGTATTTGTATTACCAATATAAAATATTAAACCATACGAACTTGTTGTCCATCTAATTTAATTTGTTGAACATGGATTTAGTTGGCATGGATATCCATTATATTTACTTATACTATATAATTCAATAGACGATTATTAATAAGAATTTAAATGTAAATATAAAACGATAATATATTTAAGAAAAAATATTTTATTTTACTATTTGACAACACGTGATTCTTGATCGACTGTTAAAGTTAATTTTTGACCATGAGTTTCGATTGGATATCGAGAATTAAAATTGAATACAAATAATTATCATATAGGAGAATATAATTATATTAAAAGTGACAGAAAAACTTCAAGAACATATTTACAAACCTAGATGATTAAATCGAATAGTCAAAGTCCCTTATGATCATCTCAAACGTTGAGATTGCATGCGATTTTATCGAATTTACCGACACGATAAGAAATTATCTAAATGTTATTTATTTTTCTTACTAAGGATACTTCAATTCGACTATACTATTGATATATTCGATATAAGATTTCATAAATCATTGATTATTACCTTAGCGAAATAGTTTTGCTTTCTGTCATAATATTACATATTACCGTTCGGCGCTGAAGAGAAATAGTAAAATGTCCTTTTTTAGAATTTATATGATCACTATAGATTAATAAACCTAAATAAACATATATTTTAAAAAGAGATATTAAACTAAAATTTTTACCTGATGGATTTTCACTAAGAAACCATAGTTCAATAGAAAATTTTCCTGTGTGTTCTACTGGTTGAAGAGATGAACGTTTAATATAACTATTTGCATGAAATCTTGCTATATATGGGTTATCTATTCAAATGAAATTTTATATTTTGAAAATACGAAGTTTTTTTTGTTTTAAAAACCTGATGAACAATTTAGACAAACACATGTATAATTATCTGGATATACATTAATACATTGTTGATCATAATAACATGATTTTGTTGCACATCGATCAATGGATGATATTAAACAATCAGTATTTGTTGATGATAAATAAGCATCACATATAGATTTATAACTATTTGCATCATTATTTCTTATTGGTATATAACGAGTTTCATTTCGACATGTTGCAATATCTGATCGACATGGATTTGCAACACATTCATCTGATAATAAATTAAGTAAATAAAAAAATAATAGAAAAAAGAATTATCAAACCAATATTTTGAGTACTAAGAATTGTATTATGTTCAGAATTATTGAATGTTAATCGTCGTTCATTTATAGATAATTCATGTATACAACCTTGAAAACCTTCATCAAGATGAAACTGTTGGTAAAGATTAGATTAGAAAATTTGTCTAATTAAATCTATTCATATAATATATACAAAATTTGCTTACGATTGAAAAGATTCAGGTAAATCTCCTAAATATAATGTACTTTTAAATGAACTACCAAATGGTTATATTCCTTTAATATAAAATAGATCTTATTTTAATAAATTCAAAATAAAATTATATTTTCTATACTTGATGATGCGCGTATTTCATTATGTAAAATATGTACTTATACACGAGCATATTTATCTAGTTCAATCATATTTGGTAATTGAATTGTTGAAATAGAATGATCAAGACGAACACTTTAAAAAAATGAAATTTTTTAAAAACAAAGATTTTTAATAAAAAATATATATCTTGCGTTATATCAAGAATTTTATTTCTTATTGAAAGAATAAAATAAAATTCTGTTAATTTATCATCGCCATAAAGCAGTAAATCATTATGATGCTCAGATACAAAGATAAGATCAATACGTAATAATTGATTATCAGTATGTTTTGTTGACATTTGTAATTTAAGTTCAGAATAAGATTGACGATTAAAATGTGGAAATGTTATTTGAAATCCTTTGAAGAGAAAATGGGAAATAATTGTGTAAAAATTTAGTAGTATGTTTAAATTTTTACTCTCATTACAATGACGTCCTTGCCAACTAAAAGAACATAGACATTTATAATTTTCATCTGATCGATCAACACATGTGGCACGATTTTCACATGGAGTACGTCGCATATATGCACCCATTGTTGTACGACGAACAGTATTTACTAATTCATACTAAAAAAGAATCTCTAGATTTTTTTTGAGTTTATTTTAAAAAGTTTTCTTATCATCAGGAGTCAATGCTAAGATATTTGAGTAAGCTAAAATAAATAACAAGTTTTAAGAATTATGTTTTATTTTTAAAAATTGTACTATGCCCACAGGCATACACTAAACAATAATAAGATCATCTTATGCACCACACATCTTGGCCCTTGTATACGTTTGGGTGGGCGTGGTGAAT